ACAAAAGCTGGGGAGAGTGACCTGGTTGTGATGGTGACATAGGGGCTGGGTAGAAGCAGGCAGGACTGACTTGAATAAGCGAATCTTATTGGCACTTTAAAATACACATTTCCCCAGGAAATGGAAAAACAGAGCTCCCAAGGGGATATTTTATTCATACAGAAATGAAATTGGAACTTGGTAGGAAAAAACCCACCGAGTAAACTGAATGAGATGTAATAGCTTGAGCATTCCAGTCCCAGGTAAATTCTACCAGTAGAAGTTCTCCTTTGAAGAGCCTTGAAAAAGTGTTTGCCAACCAGTCTGTGGATGGGGTACCCCACAACCCCAGGAGTACTGGATTACGATGCCTATTCCCAGGCCAGTCAAGATCAATAGAACCGAGGAGGGCCCAAGATTCTGCATTTTCAATGAGTGTCTTCCCCGTCCCTCCAGTGGATTCTGCTCTGCACTTGGGTAGGCAATCATCTAGAATTGTCCCCAGTGTTAGCCGATTCTCTCATGAGTCAGTATCTTTAGAATAACAAGCACCAGGATTGCAGCACATGCAGGTGCAGAAACTCCCACTGTGTAAGTGGCTACTGTCAAGGTCAGCTGCACGTTAGAGAGACCCAAAAGCAGAGTGGCCCCAAGTCCAGGCACTCTCCTCCAGGCAGGCCTCCTGGCTGCTAGGAACCACTCCTGCTTAAAGATTGCAAAAGGAGTTTTCTCAACTCACCTGTCCACACTGTAAAAAAGCCCTGAAACGCAACCTGAGCCTCCCGGGTGTTGCTGGCACCAGGTCTTGAGTGTCTTCTTGAAAAAGGGCAGCTGGCGGTCAAGGTGCGCCTGCTCCTGGGTGAGGTTGCTCTGTATTCTTCAACAGACTCTGAGCGGGCAGACCCACTTCCTTATTGCTTCCCACAGCCGAAACTGGCCTGGTCGTCTACAGTCCATAAACATCCATTCACGGATATTTATCGGGCTCCTACTTTGTGCTCCATTTTAGGCTCCAGAGATACCAGAGAACAAGAGAAATAAGGTCCCCAGCCTTAGAGAGACAGCCTGCTGGTCACATCAGTTATGTGCACGCCCCTCTTGTGCGTTTTGGGCACATAGATCCTTTAGATCATATGACCAACATCCAGGACAGTGTCCCCATTCTCGTTCTGACATACATTTTAGTGCTGTTTACCTTGTCTCCTGTAAAACTGAGCTAAAAACAGTGGCTTCTCACGGTGGTTTCAGAAAACATCAGACAATTGGAGACGGCCCTACCCATCTGGGAAGATTTATCAGCTCTGGCTGACTCTCTGGGAGGCAGTCTTTCTGAATTTTAGGTAAACTTCAGAACAATTGGCTTTCTGTTTTGGTGTCCTTGGTCTATCACTTGGAAAGGATTTATTTTGCTTTGGCCTCTGTTCCCTCCTGGATGCTAAAAGCAACGTTTTGTTCCCTCCATGAGCCTTTCTGTGTATTTAAAATTGAATTGAAACTTCAACCTCGTATTGCTTTCTCAAATCTCAGAAAGCTTAGAATTTTAGTGTTAAGACATTTTGTTGACCCTTTTTCAGTTATGTGGGTTTTCAACCAACCCTGGGTTATTTTGTATTTGGATGAGTTTCATGGGTAGAATTTCAGAAGCCTCTGGAGAGAAGTTGGGGGTAAATCTCCTCTAAGGATGAAAAGTAAAAAGTTAAATTTCATGTAAAGTGGGTGATAATTCACGTGTATTATTTTTTAAAAACTTGTCCCCAGATCACTGGTGATAGACAAGATGTTTTTGGTCGAAACATCGCTGAAGACGTCTTCTTTATTTTATTAAGTGTAATTTGGTTAATCATGACAAATGATACTGCTTTTTAATTGTGACATTCAGGTTTCCTTTCATAATGAGCTAACTTAAATAAAAAATTAAGGCTAAATATTAAATAATCATACAGGTGACATGTGGGTATGACACAAATCACAAGGTTGCTACACAAATGACTGAGGTTTGAGAAACACGATTTGAGTGGGGGTCAGAAGCAGGTGTCTTGTAGGGAAGCACCCGACTCTGCGGGGCCAAAGCACACACCTCGCCCACAGTGAGCAGGAAGCCCAGAAAGCCGTGGGGGTGAGCTTTAACTTAACACAGAACGCAGATCGTCTGTACATGCCAACCAGGGCAGAGTAGCGAGCCTTGTATGTTTGATTGGAAAGTAATCGAGTGTCTCCTCTGGAAAAGGCAATAACTCATGTTTATGGGGTCGGGGGCACGAGGGGTCCAGGGCAAGCTACAGCAAGAGATTGGGGAGATTATGGGAGTCTTGGACCAGAAGCAGTTTTGTCCCCTGCTGAGAGGTCAGAGAGCATAAAGGCAGGGAAAGGGACATTCGGTCCTCGGTCCTCGGGTGACTGTGCTATGGCTCTGCAGGAGTGCCTTCCCCTGCAGCTGTCTGCAGATTTTATCAAGGAGGAAAGCTGCAGTGGGATAGTGACAAGCACCTCAAACATAGCAGGCTCTTGATGATAATGAGAGTTTAAAAGTACTTAAAACCATTGTTGGATTTTCTTTTTAAATATAAAAACAGAGAAACAAAACGAAACGAAGAAGAGCCATTTCCCTTAATTATATTTGAGGCAGAATCTAGAAATGGAATTGTAATTTTTGTTCCTTCTCCCACTCTGTGATTTTACAGATTGGGCCCAGGATGGAAAGTCCTCTGGCCTGTGGACCCCCTACCCCCCACCCCACCCCATCTAAGTGAACCCCATGGCAATGGGACACCTTCCAATCGAAAGGCTTCCCATCCTTGTGAACCAAAAAGCCGCCCCAGGGCGAGGGCTCCTGTTCTCGGTTACCTGTAGTTGTTGAGGCTGTAGAGGACCCTCTGCCAGCACATTCATTTTGTGGGGGAGCAGGTGAGAAAGTCGTCACAAGAAGAGAAGAAACAAAGCAGAGTGTACCCAACGCTATTGACCCTAACACACGTTCTGCTATATCATTATGCAGCATGTAAAGCCTAAGTCACTCAACACTCCCGTTTAGGTCACCCAACCCTCCGATCACCAGTAATTTTCATTTGCACATGCTGTTCCCTATGCTTGATGTGCTCTTCCCACGCCTGCTCTCCCTCGCTCTTGGCCTTGCTTCGCCTCCCTGACGAGGTCGAGTCTCCACACTCTATACGTTCTTGTGGTGCCACGAACTTCTCTTTGTAGCACTTGTCCCAGATGCACTCGGGGCAGACGAGGCCAGGAGCGAGGGAGGGCAGGAGTGGGGAGACCCTCTCAGGACTAGGGGACAGCGTGTGCGAAGGCTGCAAGAAGGAGGTGCTGGAAGAAGCCGGTGGGGCTGGGGCACCGAGGCTGGAAGAAAGGGGGTCGTGAGAGGCTGGCGGAGGCGTAGGGTCTGCCCACACCGCCTTCCTGGCCACGCTAAGGAGTTTTGCTTTTCTTTCTGAGCAGAGTGGGAAGCCATTGAGGGTTTTAAGCTGGAGTTGAGGAGAAAGACAGAAGAGCAAGTTTGTGTTTTGGGAAGATCAATCTGGAGGAATATGTTTTCTTTCAAGGAAGAGTCTGGTCAAATCCTAAAAGTTTTATCTCAATTGAGCCCTTGCAACAGGCCCCACTGATATATATGCGCAGGGCCCTGGCGAGAGTACACACAGAGACCCACGCCCCTGCCAGTTTAAGTGGTTGCAGGTTACAATCAAGCTAACAGACTATTATCAATATGCTCCATCCTCCCGCCCTGAAAAACATGTCTCTATAACTAAAATGTAGGAAAAGATGTGTATGACTATGGTTTTTATATGACTAAGAGTCAGAAAAGCATCAAAAGATGATGAAATTTAATTATCATTGCACAGCCTGGGTGTCCTGTTGGGGGCCAACAAGATGTGGATGAGTAATATAATAAAGATATTTATAATTGACATATCCTGTTCCATAGTTTTTGCCTTTATTATAGCAAAATCACTTAATTATGTTGTTCTAATTAAGATTTTCACATAATTTCTGTTCTTTTGACAGAAATATTGAGCTAGACAGCTTTTCTCTTTTTGTAATGGTTTTATTGAGATACAATTTACATGTCATACAGTCCATTCAAAGTGTACAACTTTTCTTGAGCCATTTTAGTTCTGAAATAGTTTTTCATTCATTTCAATTTGAAGAGACCTTGTCCTGCTGGTGGCATATCAACCTGAACTGTTAATAAAATTCTTAAAGAAATAGTTAGATTTGGAAACGAACCGTGAATAGAACATATTGTGTTCAAAACATGGTAATGGGATATGATAAATGATCTTTATCACAGCGAATATCAGGAAATGTTTTTATTCCCTTGTATGAATCTCTGTCATGTATACAGCAGCTTTCACTATCTTCAAGCAATGTCTCCATCTAACATGAATGTCAAGTTTTGGCATCGTATGTCACGTATGTTATGTCTGGACATCTGATCCACATTTAAGAACAACGAGAATGGTGAAATACTGTAGAGTGCTCCTTGGCTGCCCTGTGCAAGTGTTGTGAGTTTCCAGAACCTCTTGCACTACAAACTGGAGCTTGAAGAGAAGCAAGCGTGGAGACACTTGGCACAGCCCTGGTCCCTCATTGTGTGAGGATCAAGAGTGTTCATGTGTTTGAAAGGAGCAATGGACCAGTTCATTAGCCCTTTTCTCTCCTCCAAGTGTTCCTGCTGCTCAAATCCATCCCGCCCTCTGAAGCAGCCCCCATCACTGCCAGGGCCATGTGACAAACCCCTCACACGCTCAGGCCTCTCAGACACAGTTCCCTGTCGCTTCAAGGACTCAGGGCAAGGGCTGTGGGGAAGCATGTCCCCGGACTTAGGATGGCTCTACCCTGCAGCCTAAAACTGCACAAACACTGGGTAGACCGTCCCCAAGCCTGTCCCATCAACCTGCTAACTGGGATATGGACTGATACTGCCAGGAAGGAGGTCGGTCCTTTCTTTGTCAGTGTGTCCCCTTGGAAGTCCGCTGACTGTGTTTTTCTCTTGTTTTGTCTCCTAGGGACTGGTGAAAGTGGGAAAAGCACCTTTATCAAGCAAATGAGAATTATCCATGGGTCTGGTTACAGCGACGAAGACAGAAAGGGGTTCACGAAGCTGGTTTACCAAAACATATTCACCGCCATGCAAGCCATGATCAGAGCGATGGACACCCTGAGGATACAGTATGTGTGTGAGCAGAATAAGGTAAAGCGCTTGGAGGTATCTGCCCCGCCCACGAATGTGTGTCTGCCTGCTCTCGGTAGCGTATGTCTTTGAGCGAGAAGACGGAGTGCTTTGGTTGGCTGCCAGAGGAGCTCTTGCACTCAAACTCTGGGGTGGAGATAACGGAGAGGAATTTGGGGAATTTTATTAGCCCTGTGGTCTTCCTTCTGCAGGAGTTCTGTCGCGTGGAAGTGCAAGGCTACCCTGTGTGCAGGGATTCAGAAGTTATTTAGGTTTGGGCCGTTATTTAGGTTGCTTGTTGCAGGCACTGAGAAAAGAAGACATCCATTTTCTCTTTCTACTAAGAGACCCAGTTAATTTCTTCACTGACGCAATGGGGGCGTTGGGTTTGCAATGGCTGGCTTTTCAGGAATTCCCCGTCTCAGGAAATATTTTCACTAATGTGCTGCAGACTACTCAGAGAAATCAGTGGGCTCTGTTTGTTTACATTAGTTTGTTTACTTAGTTCCCTTCTTGGGAACTAAGTGATAATCATGGGAGCGATGCTTATGTCCCAGCTAGCAATGTGCTCTCTTGTAAGGTGATGCTGTCGAGCTGGCACTGGCTTTCCTGTCACCACCAGGTACTTAAAATACAAATCTGTTTAAAACCGGAAGAAAACAAAGAGGCAGGAGGGTGGGAAGGGGAAGAAAATAAAATATGTGTACTGGAATGCAAAAGTCATCCATACGAAAGTAATACCGTGTCTGAGTTCATTAAGAATCTAGATTAGAAATAAGAGTTTATTTGAGATAATCGGTACCAAGTTACAACATGATGCAGAGAAACATTCTGTGTCAGGTGGGTCTCTTGTGGATCTATTTACAGAGAATTTCGCTACTGAAATGCCAGAGTTGCATGGGCTTCAGAAATAGACTCCCAAGGACAACTTGATATTATGCACTTGTGGCAGCTGTATTCATCTGTATTTTCTATATATGATAGACAGAGAGTTTCAAAGTGATCAAATAATTTAGAGTTTATACTTCTCATTGACTGAATTACATTGGAAAACACAGTATGTGCCAAATTTTCGACTTACCTTTACATTATCTCTGCAACCTCACGTCTTTCTCACTACTTCCTTGCTGTCTTGAAGAAATGAAGGAACTTGTCTTGCCTACACTTTCAATGGCGTCATGCTGAAAATGTCGGGGGTGGATTAGCCTACAGCGTATCTGGTGCCAAGTAACACGAGAGGTGCACGCTGAGCCCCTGGGAGATTCTAGAAGTGACTGTGGCGATTTCCTTATATATTGCTTTTGAGTACATGTGATATCTTTTTGAAAGCGTATGGTTCTTTTTTCCTTACCCTGTGCAATGTATTCCAAACATGAGGCTTTCTGTGAAGATTCAAGATTATTTCAGAGAAGAGACATGGCTGGAAACTTCCTTGTGGTGATTTCAGTTAATCCCTTTTCCCCTGTTGTAAAATGTATTTCCTTTACCAATCATAGTGAGGTGACTGGGTGCAGGTTGGAATTCAGGGATGGATTTGTAAACAGATCTATTTGGAAGGAAAGGCTCAAGTGTAAGCCACTTCTGCTTACTTTGGCACATAAGTTTGCAAAAACTAATCAGGCTTAGTAATCAAGGCCTCTGGGTTTTTGCTTTTGTTTTGTTTTCCCTCACGGGCCTTCTAGAGGTACTCAGTGTATATGTTAAACAAAATGGTTTTATGGGATTGAACTTGAACCACTTTCTTCTTTTCCCTTGATGTTCTTGTTCATAGCCCACGTCCACTTGCTCACTAATCTGCACTGGTTTCCTAGGGCTGCTGTAACAAGTACCTCAAACTGGGTGGCTTAAAGCAGAAATTAATTTTTTTCATAGTTCTGGATGCCGAAAGTCTCAAATCAAAGTTGACTGGTTCCAAATGAAGGCTCTGATGTCTCTGATCCCTGCTTTTCCGCGAGCTTTTGGTTGCTGGAAATCTTTGGCATCCGTTGGTTTGTAGACCCATCATTCCAGCCTCTGCCTCTGTGTTCACATGGCATTGTCCTCTCTGTGTTTGCTCCCGAATTTCCCTCTTATAAGGACACCAGTCATTGGGTTAGGGCCCACTCTAATCCACTATTCAACCAGTATAGTCTGCCCTCTGGCTCCCCAAGATTCATGTCCATCCTGCATGCAAAATATAATCACTCCATCCCAACATCCCTAAAAGTCATAAGCCATTATAGCATCAACTGTAAGACCCAAATCTAATCTAAATATCAACTCAAAAAGTCCCAAATCTCATTATGTAAGTCAGATATGGGTGAGACTCTGGGTGTGGACCATCCTGGGGCAAGGTTTCTCTCTCTCCATGACCTATGAAACTAGAAAACATGTTGGTTGTCCCTCCTGTCTCCTCATCTGCTGTGTCTGGCTCCATTCTCAATGCCTGCCTTCTTTCTACTTCAAGTATCTAGATTCGTGTTCCATACATTTTCTCTTAACCCCTCAAACAGATGCCTGGAATGAACCACATGTTGAAATGGCTTAAGTAGTGGCAGAAGATTGAGTGGAAAGAACACTAGGTTGGCTCCCAATTTGGGATCTGCTTATAGCTCCTCTGTGGGTCTAGAGCAGGAGTCAGCAAACTTTTCTATAAAGGGCCAGAGAGTAAATATCTTTGGCTTTGTGGGCTATATGTACTCAGTCACAATGACTCAGTTGTGCTGTTAGAGCACAGAAAGTAGCCATAAGTAATGGCTAATGTGTAGCTCAGTTGTAAACTCTATTCACAAAATGTAAAAACTATTCTCAGCTCTTGAGCCATACAAAAATCCATTCATGCCATGGGCAGATTTAGTCTCCAAGCTGTAGTTTGCCAACCCTGATCCTAGGAGAAGCTATACCCTCTTCTCTGCTTTTCCATTTCCTCATCTGTTAAATGCAAACAGCACAGGCTGTGTCTACTTTATAAGGCAACACGAGCAAAAGGAAGTGCTCTATAGATTAAATGGCACTCCAGAAGTATAATGCTATTATTGAGGGAAGTTCAAAAATAAGAAATGGACTCATTGTTTTTTCTGTTATTTGTTTAAGTCATTTTATCCATTCCTTCTATATTGTTTTCCTGTGTGCTATTATTATTTCTAATAATTTTGTCTGTAGGCTAGTTTTAATTCCAAACATGAAACTGTAACAAATTACCATGTTTAGGTCATAAAATGATAAAAATGATTAGTGGAAATTTTCCAGTAGTATTCAGTAATTAGTTTAGGAAGCATGCTATATGTTATCTTCTTTACAAAGTATTGCATAACCTGAAATAATTGACTAGTTAAGACAGGTATAAACAAAATCTTAATTAGGTTTTATTGTGGTGGTACACTCTTTTCTTCACTTCTTATTGCTGAGTATTTCCATTATATGTGAGGTTTTTTTTTTTCTTTTAAAAGAGCTGAGAACACTTTCTTTAAATTTTGTAGAAGAGAATTAGAAGTTGCTTTAGAGGATTTTATTTCAAATGTTAGTGAGATCATTGCTCAGCTAAGTGGTTGAAAATCTTTGGCTATTACTTGACAGCCTGCTTATTGAAGGAAATTTATCAGAAACTTAGTTCAGCATTTGGTTTTTAACCAACATGTTCTCTCAATTAAGATATAGCCTTGAAGATTATTTTCTTATACCTTGCATGCTTATTTTTTTTGAAGAGATGATTCATATGTATTTGCTTACTCTGTTGATAAGCCTTAATTTTTATGAATGTCTCTCAAGAGTGTTTTATGAGCACATATTAGAATTTATGACTTCTTGAATAAATATTACAAAGGCATTTGTGCAGTGGCAGAGCTCCTCAGTCTGTGTTAGTTTATAATTCATGTTTACTCAAGATGATTTCACGGAAGCCAGAAGAGCTTCATATTTTTGCCGTTTGTAGCGTCTTGAACTTGAGAAACTCTTGTTCTAGGCCTGTCCTGCAGTGAAGGAAATATCTTGAACCCTTTAAATGTTCTGCAGAATCTGCTTGGATTATGTAGATACAGAATTTCCCAAGGGCAAAGGGCAACCTCGCCTGACTTCTCAAATGCATTTCAGTCCTGTATTTAGTGATCTCTAGAATAAAAGGTCTGCAGGCTCTTCACGGCTGCCCCTTAGCCTCTTCGCTGCCCTCCTGCTTGTAGGGGTGCTTAACTACACTGGGGTCATGTCATATTTGCACGTAACTTAAATTTAACTGTACGAGCTCATCATGACAAACACAAAAGCAATTATTTTTTTAAAAAAGAAGAATTAATAATTAAGTGGTAAGAAGATTATTTTGCCTGCCATTCCATTCTGAGTACTTAACTTAGAAGACAATGTTTCTAGAAGTGTGAGGTCTGAATTTCCCTTCAGAAAGCATCTCACTCTTCCATTAGAAACTTTTGCCGAATTCACAGTCCCAGTTGGGACTATGGACTTGGGCCATCCAGCCCACCGTTAGTCTTGAAAGGCTGAATGTTTTGCGTTGCACTGACTCACAGAGCCTCTGCTAGTTCTGTTTGAAGTTTTGCAGGTCTCACATTTGGATGCAAGGATGCCTTTCTGTTCAGTAACTGCGAGCTCCTCCTCTCCTGGATGCTGGATTTATCAGACACTAGAACATCCGAGGCAATGGTTCTCCATCTTGGCTGCATGTTGGAATCACCATGGGGCTTTTATGCTGAGGCCCAGGGGACCATCCCCAGAGATCCAGAGTGAATGCTCTGGAATGCAGCCTGAGCACTTGGATTAAGGAGATTCTAACTGGGCAGCCAAGGTTGAGAACCACTGAGGTATATGTGTCTTCACATTATTTAGTCATATTCAATTCGGATTCTGCTTTCCTACCAACTTTTCCATAGCAGGCAGGGGGACTTCTGGTCACCTTTTCCATGGAATGACCTAATCAGTCTCCACCCAAAGGTAAACCGAGTGGGCAGCATTGAGTACATTTATATTGTTCAGCCACATTGGGCCATCTTGGTTAGACTAGCTGATGGTAGCCTTGACAGCATGTCCAGGTGGCA